AGCCATAGATTGGTGAGGCATATTTCTAGTACTAGGCTGCAAGGGCTAAGCAGTTATCTTTACAGATGTCAGTTCTGCTTCTTCTGTGTATTTTTATAGAACAGGGAAAGGCGCCAAGGACTGGGCTTTGTCTTACCAGTATACTTGGGGTTCCCCCTGATGTCACTTGGACAACCTGGAGAAAAACACTGTTAGACTTGTATGCAAAAGAGTAAATGGGGGTGAGGAGGAAATTGGAACATAGACATGCATGCAGTCTATGCAGGACAGTGCTGAGGAGCCCAGGTGGCCTCAGCTCTACCCCTTCTGAACTTGGCTTTGCAATCTTTTTTTTTTTTCCTAGTTATTTAAATAGCCTCAGAAAATAATGCTTTCATCAGTAAGTTCCATCACTGAATAGCTTAAAGTGAAAATCCTAAGGAAAGGATGCAACATTAAGTCCTTGTTTGTCCAGTACTTTCATTGTTGCTCAGTAATCCTGAGCGGTATTTTTTTAACCCTGGAAGACAAACCTTTCTTTTGTCCTTTTCAGTTGATCCATTGCATATGACTTTTTTTCGTTAATTCTTTCTTGTCTCTTGAGGTCTAGCAGAATTGCTTTACATCAGCTGAACTTTTATAACTGTCCATATGTGTTTTCTGGGTCCAAGGTGAATGTGAGGTGTTTGACCTTTTTCGTTGCAGGGTAAGTAATTTTACCTGGCCTTTGCCACAGATGTAGAACTTGCATATGGACAGTGACCAAGGCTTAGCTCAGTTGGAGCCTCAGTTCCACAGAGACCAAACTGCACTGGACAGGATGAGATGTATCAGGGTGGTCTGAGCTGTTCTTGATAGGACTGCTGTCTCTTGAGTGTCATACTGATTTCTTTGACAAACACAAGCATTTTGAATAAAATAGCTAAAATGGAACCTTCTTCCTTCCCTCCTGTACTTGCAATTGCCACTTAAACAATTTGGACTAGAAATTTGTTGTGGTTCTAAGAACTAGAACCACACATAGCCCATCTTTTAAAAAAAGTTTAATTTTCTATTTCTGTGGGCAAAGTTATTTTTTACCGTGCTTCTGAGTAGCTAGCTGCTAAAGGAATAGTACTCAACTCATCGCTGAAACCAGTTTTGGGCAGTTTGGAAGGATAAAACCAGTGAGCCAAGTTAATTCCTGGATTGTTGATTTCAGATTAGCAGCATAAGGGGAAAATTTTGCCCATTTTGCTTTTATGTAGCTATATTGGCTACAGATGCAAAATGCAGTTTGAAAACTTGATAGATATTGTACACTGTGCTTTATGCTTTTTGGGTGGTCTGTATGGAGTTCACAGACATTAGACAATGCATTTCTCACTTGCTGGCTGGTAGCTGGATTTCTGTTGGATACTTGGGAGAAATTTCCATTCTAATGCCAGCATTGAATTTGGCACAGGATTTGCATCATTTATAGAAATTGCTACGCTTGGCTGTACTTCTGTTCATATAATCCTAATTACATGGTTTATTACGAAATTGCTGTCAGTTATTAGATTCTCACTCAGTTCCGATCTTCCTGGAAATGTAGAAATGCATTTTATTTCTGACCTAAGAAAACCTCTTTTTCTTATGGGGCGTGATGAAACTTCATTTCCCATGTTCATGGTATTCTGTGCTTCTGTACACTACTGTACTACATTGTCAGCTGAGATCTGTAGCTTCCTAGCATGAGTGAGTGTGGTCCTTAGATTGCCTTGCTCTCTTTTAATACTGTTGCTTTTATCCCTCATGGGCCTCATGTAAAACCTTGTTCATATTCTTCCATGATGTTCTTCTAGTGGATGCAAAGTAAGTTCTTTATTACCTTTATTCATTTTTGGCTTTAAAAAAAAAAAATCCTATTCCACACAGCCATATAAATGCCTTGTCTGGAGATTGGTGGGTCAGACATGGCCTGAGCTGGATCAGACCTACCAACCTGGTTAGATCTGAAGGGAGTTCTCCAGAACCACACCCATTGGTAGCTCTGCATTGTGCTTCAGTGCAGAGACCCCCTCATGGGGTCATCATGATGATGTTGGCAGAGGCCAACATCAAACCACAGTTAACATGGCCAGCTGGTCCAAACTAGCTCTTGGTGGAGATGCTGGAGTGTTTCTACTGTGTTCTCTCCAGCTGTTTTGTTCCATTTTCTCTAATACTCTAGCACTTCTTTATCCTACTGCATGAAAAAGAGGAGAAATGTGTTTGTGTATCAGCTGGTGAGTAAGGCTTTAAACTAAGGTGATGGGAGGTGAAAGCAACCTGTAGGTTAGGGCACACAGGAGTTACACGAGTGCCAAGGCAGGCTCTTGCAGCCAGTATTTCAAGGGAGGAAAGGGTAGGATTGGGATTGCCCTTTCTCTAGCAGTGAGCTGTGATCAGCTCAGTCCATCTCCTGTAATCATCACACCCTGACCATACTGTATTTCACATTCAGTTGTACTTGTCTTTGATTTAGTGGGTCTGTGTTTTACTTTGTTTTAAATTAAATACATAACTCCAGACAAGGATTGCCTTTTCCTGCAGCTGGGCTACGTGTGTTTGGCTTTCTCCAGGTATTTGGGGTTTTATCTGTCCTTTGTGAATCCAGACCGCTTCCAGCCGGCATGTGGGCTGCACTGTTGCATGTCACAGTGACTTTTGGCCCCTGTATTCGTAGTGATACAGCTAAATGACATGGGAAGTCTATAACAAGACTTGTGATTTTTGCTAAAAAGGAAGCTAACTTTGAATCTGTAATTTAGAGGCTCCTAGTGTCTTTCTTGGGGGAGCAGCATGTGATAAAGATTGATTTCCAAGCCAGTAGTAATGCTGTGACTTCCAGAAGTCCCAGTGAGTGTGAGATGGCCTGTGGAGAGGGCAGTGTTTCTCTGCCTGTAGTATGCATGTTTCAGCAGCTAGCGAGAGGAAGGAGCATAGATGCTTCTGGTTTGATGTTACAGCCTGAAAGGGTAATTTATACCCTACTGAAAATCGAGAACACACCTGTGCTTCTAGCTAGAAACCAGAAATGTTATTTTGTTTTGTTATACGTCATAGATTTTTTGGAAAGTGCCTGTTGCAGGATAGTTGACATATAATTTTACAAGATTACTTTATACCTCTGTTAGTAACCATCAGTGAACATCAAAAGTAACAACTTCAAACCTAGAGAAGGTGAAATGCATGTGACAAACAGAAGGTAAATCTTGCAACATTTTAACATTGCAATAGAGGTATGTCGTGTGTTTTCTGGTGCTTTGTTGCAAAGCTGATAAAGTGCTGAGTTGGTAGAAAGGCCAGGATGTTGTTGTAGTTATGAGGTGATGTATTTCTTATTGCATTTCCTCTTCTTGTATTTCCTGTTGGGAAGATGGGAATGTTAGCTCAAATGGGGTAAGACCGATGACAGGTTGGTCAGTGGCTGTAGATTTAAAAAAAAAACCAAAAAACAACAACAACAAAAAAACCCCAAACCAACCTGTGTTGCTGTTTGCTCAGTATAGATGTTGTTTTTGGAAGGAGGAAGGGTTAATAAAAACTGAAGGCATATCTTTTTTCCCAGAATGGATACCTTCCTATGCACGATCCTACATGTGGAGGAGGTAAGGCTGGACAGGAGATAATTTCTTGTAGGAGGAATAAACTGGGAGAATGTTATGAGGAAAGCAGCACACAGGGAAAACACGGCTGTCAGTGTGTGGAAGGTGGAGGAGAGATGCGCAGGTGCATTTCTAACATCAAGTACAATGGGGAAGTACACATGGGTGCTGGCAGAGAACAGATAGTATGTGCCAATACCAAGTGCACACATGTTCTGCAACTTCTGTTACCTAAGTTATGTCAAGCATAATTCTTCCCTTGGCTTGGGAATTAAATCTTAATGGGATTGAAATCAATGGCACAGTTTACACTGACCTATCTGGTGCAATTGTTTTGTCTTGGGTACATGTTTAGGCTTTCCTGTTCTGCCAGTAAGTGATAGCATGAAAAGCTTGTGATCTTCTTAGGTAAACTACTGCAGCAGAAATTCTGGTGGTGTTTCATAAGGAAAACAAACTTCTCTATTTCCACTGACCTCTTTCTAAAAGGCTTTGAGATTTTTTTTTTTTTCCTTCTTGTTTCTTTTAATTCATCCTGATCATTAAGCTCTCAAGGGATTATCTTTCACTTCTCTGTGTTGGTTTTTTTAATGTATGGTAGTGAGACCCAGTGGTCCTCAGTGTGAGGAGGCCCCTGAGCTTAACCTAACACAAGAAGGACACTACACCTTTTCATTTTTCTTGTGTATCTCATGTGAATTCTAATAGTTTTATTTTTCGTATCAATTATTCGATTTACAAGATCACAGTGTATTCAAAGATGCTGAACGCAAAGCTTACTTTATATAGCAGGTACAGCTGTTCTGAGTGATAACTTTGTTTCTCTAGCTGTTCCCTGTTTGTGGCATAAACTGTGACTTTGCAGTTTCCTATTGAACAACATCACCTGAACTTGAAGCATTTTTGCCACTGTGAGTGACTTTCTCTTGAAGAAGGGCTGCTTGATTATGAAGTTGTGGGTTGGAATAGACAAGGAATCAAGAAAAATTTCAAAGCTCTACCACATCAGGACCTGGGAGGAGTGTTTGTTGTACAAATTGCTGGTAAAATGATTTCTGCTGCAAGCAGGAAAGCTTTGTATATCACTGCATGTGTGGTTTCAGTAGTGCTTTGTTTTTATGACTACAGATATCTTGGTTAATTCTAGTGATTTCTAAATTAATGATTACCCACACATTCTCTTGCTTTAGTATTTCCTGGAGATTCAGAAATGTTAATTTGGGAATACCTTGAAGTAACAATAATCTGTGATAACAGCTGCTAGCAACTGCAAATTAAGATATAGCTATTTTCAGTTAGAAATAATTGTTGCTTTTCCATAAGGACTTGCTGCTTTTTGGTTTTGGTGCCGTTTGCAGAGGAGACACTTGCAGTTTTTATGATATTGTGTCCCTTGCTTTTGTTTTCCAGAATATGACAAACTGGGCTTTCTCCTGAACCTGGACTCAAAATTGTAAGTAGAACAGTAGGACTCTTCTTTGTTTCTGTAGTTACAGATTTCTGTTGTAAGCAACTTTTATGTCAGCTGGGCAGTTGGCTCACTGGACTATATACTTCTACCTGGGACAGCAAAGTCCTGCAGCAACCTGGCAATTACGACTTCTTTCCTTACACTAGGCTTTGCTGGCTGGCTTGGATTGTGGTTCACTGTCATTAATTCCTTAATGACTGATCAAGAGGCTGTAAATGTCCACCTGAAGCCATGACTGTCAGTCTGCTCTAGATATCCTACTGTTAATCTTCCAAATGAGGAAAAATGTATTAAACATTTGAAAGCAGGAGGAATGTCAATCTGCAATTTACTGGGATGCTTAGAAGTTTATATTTCTTTTCCAATTGTTTCTTTAAACTGGAGTGGAAAGAACCTCAATGCAAGGCAGTGACAATTTGCTATGTCAGAAGAACAACAAAGTGCTGAAGGATGATACTTGTCATGCTTTGCCATAAATCAGTCAAATTGACACTGAACTTCTTAACACTAGGGGTCACTAGCGACTCTGTTTCAGAGGTCAACAGCCTCGCAGAAATTTTGGTATTGGGAGCAAAAAGATTATTGAGAACCTTCTGCCTCTACTACTTAAAAAGGCACTGAAGCAATCCAGTGGCTTTGAATGACTTGAGGATGCATCGCCTGTACAATGTATCATGTTAGTATAAAAACTGTTCTTAATGTTTGGAAAGTTTCACTGTACTTATAGGGTGTAACATTAAAGTTCTGAGTTTAGTCTTGCTGAGCAGCTTGGGATCTTCCGTAATGAAATAAAAGCCTCATAAGTGTGTTGGGAACTGCTGTTCGCAGGAAATGAGAAAGCCTCTAGGTAGGAGGATTTTTACAGAAGCAGCTGGGTACATAAACTCAACTGTAGTAATTTATCTGGCAAAAAGGTGCTGTAGAAGAACACGTATGGGAAAGAAGGACTATTGATTTCCCTCCCCGTCCCCCCAAAGGCTCTGTGTTTCATTCAGTGTGCAGGAAGGATGGCATTTACTGCATGAATAACTGGTCAAGTTTTCTTTCCGGTCTTATTTAATGTAGTGTTCTGTGCGGTTTTTGTTGCATGCTGTCTGGAACCTGTGGTCATTGCACAGTTACCAATTGCCGTTATTGAATTTTCTGTATTGGGACATCCTTGTGATTTAGAGACAATAGCGTATGTACCCTTACAACGCTGTGGGATGAGATGATACGTTATCTTCAATTTATACATGTAGAAGTCAAAGCAAAGAGACTAGCCCAAAATTGTGAAGTGGGGAAGTAACCTTTGGATGGACATCTTGGTGTTGGTAAGGGAAAAACGTTTTTTAAGTTTTTAAGTAGTTTGATTTCCCCCCGCTCCCCCGACTACTCTGCATATTTTATAATGTCTGATTTATTGAACGCACCCATTGACTGTCCACACGCTTTTGGCGTACCAGCTTTGGATACCAGCCTGCTGTGTCCAAACCACTGCTTTAGTCTTGCTCTTCCTATTCCTTCCTCTGTGTTCAGTATCATTTCCGTTGTCGCTTTTAGTAAGTCCCTTTTAGCAAGTCTACCTTCCACTCAAGCCTCTGTTACATCCTTTTTTTTCTCTTCCTTGCCGACTTATCTACTTTGATTACAGCTCTCTGAGACATGGCCTGCTCCTTCTTGTACTTTAGTATGAGGCCAAGTGAAGGTTTTTACCTGCTGGAGGGCTTCCAAAACCCTAAAATTTTTTATTAAAACCTCCCCATGATAGAAACTCTCCATTATTTTTGATTAAAGAAGGATTTTGTTGACTACTTAAAAAAAAAGATATTTATATAGCATCCTAAATGTGCATATTTGCTTTTCATAGCCATAAAATTAGCTTATGGAAAGGCTTGTAATAAAATCAGCATGATTAAAATAAATGTAATGAGGTTACGTTAAGGAGCAAAGAAAGTAAGTACTATGCATAGGTGAAATCACTTTTTCTTTTTACTGTAATTGTCCTTTTTTGGTTTTAGGTTTGGGGGGGTTTTCCTTTTTTTTGGG